TAGAGAGAGAGAGAGAGAGAGAGAGAGAGAGAGAGAGATCTGTCTATACATATATGCAGTTAGCTCCCCAAACCAACTTTTTTTCTTGCTTCTATTATGTGACAGAAATCTTTATTCCTTTGAGAAATTACTTTAACAGTTGCATTACAAGAATGACAGAACTCTACACAGTAATCTCTTAATAAATGTTAACTTTTATTGTTATTAGTATTTATTAAATGACACTGAAATATCGAAGAATGCTCCAGCAAACAAATTCTGAGTACTTAAGGATTCTCACTTTTCTTTACTATGTGATAGAATATTGCAGGTATTTTGCATATGTTATCTCATTTAATCCTCATGATAAACTTCACCTTAACCACTTCAACCCCTCACTTTAATCTAATTTTTTCCATTCAGTATCATTTTAAATCAGTTACCTGCTTCATTCCAAAATACTTTTCTTTTTTCAAAAATGTCCTAGAATTCAACATTCATTTTAGATAAGAACACAGATAAATAAAAAGCAAATAAGTAAAGTTCACTAATTATCTTTCCACCCAAAGATAACTATTGTTTCTATGTACCTCTAGTTTTTAGTGTCTTTATAAACATGATTTCCTATCCCCCAAAATGGAATCATACTATGAACACTGCTATATCTAACTTACCTTTTCCACTTAATGCATGATGAATATACTTTCCTAGCAAAGTACATTTCCATCAGCATATTTATCATATCATACTGTGTGAACATACCTTTATTTAACCAATACAGTATGACAGACACTTTAATTGTTTTCAACTTTTGGTACCTTACTGCTGAGGTGAATAGCTTTATGCATACGAACTTTGACCAATCAAATCTCTTAGGACACAAGGCTTACATATTTTAAGGCATATGATATGTATGACCAAATGGCTACCACCAGGGTTTCAGAGGGTTGGTTTCTCCATAGCCTAATTGACACTGTGTAGCGGGAGAGTAAGCAGGACATTTCTAAGGAGCCCATTCATTTTCTAGTTAAAAATATTTAGTGTATCTGAGTATTCAATAAGACAGTATATTTCCACAACTGGATTCACCCAGCTCCTAATTTATTTACTCCTATTCCACACACTCCACTCTAGGCAGACTGTTCTCCTGTCACAGGAAGAAGGTACATACCTTGGTAGCTTTCTCACACTGTTTCTCCTTCTCATGGAATGTCCTAACTACCCTACTGCATTCAGGGCTCACTTTCAATGGCTGCTTTCTCCATGAAGCTTTAGCTAACTCTCGCACCCCACAGAGGCCTTTGTCTCCTCTGTGCTCTGAAAGCACACATCTGACAATAAGTGTATGCTCCAGATATTGTCGGTTATCTTTTGATTTGTATATTCCTTATTTCTCCAATTAGATTATAAACCAAAGGACAAGGATGATTTCTTTCTTCTTTCTTTTTTTTTTCTTTCCAGCATTAACACACAACTTTATTGATGATACACAAATGAAATCAATGCAAATGACAGAAGAGAACTTACTTAGGACTAATTGTCACTGTCACTTATGCAGAGGAAATAGTAAGAATATTTCAATCTAGGCAGCAAGATAAAAAGCAACAGACATTTTCAGAACAAGTAATGATATTCATCCAGCTTAGACCCAAAAACCAACCTGGTTAAATATCAGCACTGATGATACAATATAACACTCATTACTCTAACTTAGCAACTGAACAGATTCCTCCAACATACAAAGTTGAGAAAAGGAATAGTTTACAATGTATGCTGCTTCTAAACTATGAAGTCAAGAAGTTATTCCTGGATCTTTGGGAACATATGCTCAGCCAGTTTGGCCATGAATTTTCCAACTTTTACTTTCACCAAAAAATCGTGGTGACCTTCTATTCCCAGAACCTTATCAGCACACACTTGAAATTCTTTTAAAAAGAAAAAGAGTGAACCTTCACCAAACTGATTCTGAGTAGGTTCATTTTCTTCCCATCTGAAATTGTCATTTAGATTCTCAAAAACAACGAGAAGTTTAAGAATAACCTCTTTGTTCTCCTTCTTGTTAAAGAGGGAACCCAGTGATGATGGTACTTGGGCCCTGAGCAGTTCTCTAGTCATAGCTGGATTTTCAGCCAAATTCAAAAGGAGTTTCAAAACCTGAAGTTTAGTTTCTTCGTTTCCAGCTGAAAATAAGCGGAAAAAGTCTGAAATGGAATTAGCAAGCATGTGCTGATACTCATTAGTAACAGTCATATTTGTAAGCAATCTCAGTCCAGCCAGCTGCACAGATGAGTTCAAGCGAGAAGTGATTGTGTCATCACACACTTGATTCATGTATATCTTAAGCCTGCGTTGATTTTCAGCATTCACACTCAGGTTGTTTAGGACAATTAAAGCCTTTTCCTTAACAATAGGATCCCGAGTATTGAGAATCTTCGCAACAATTGGAAGACCACCCAGATCACGAATAATATCTCTGTTAAATGCATAAGCAGCATTGTTACCCAGAGCAATTAAAGCTGCTTCAAGAATATAAGGCTTTTCAGACATCTCAACCAAACAAAGAACTTTTTGTAGTTCTTGAGGGGACAAAATAGTATCATCTGAATTAGGGGAAGCCCGTTTCTGGACAGCCCGACGTGCCCTGGTAGCCCTGGCCCTTGCCCTGGCTCTAGCTCTGGTTCCTGCTTCAGTTCCAATCCGAGCCCAAGGTGGATACCATACTATGCTCTTGCTATCATTAGTGTCACCATCGTCATCAGACCAGTCATTATACCTGGCCCCAGAACAGTCCCCAGCATCATCGACATCCCCAGATCCACCCTCAGCCATTTTCTCCTTGTTCTGTTTTCTTCCTCGGGTCAATCTATAAATGCAATAGCAGGCACCAGCCCCAATCACTAGGCCCGCAGTCACCCAGCCTACTTTCCTGGTGTAGCCCATGCAATCGTCCCTGACAAGATCAGGGACAAAGGAATAGAGTAGTCACTCAGGATGGGGGAAGAGGGCTGTAGGCCTGGAGATAGGGCTACAGAAGTTGATCTTCAGGCACTTCCTGGTCACAACAGCTGATTCTGGAGGTGGACCTAGAAATGAAGGAAAGAAATATGGTTTGAATTTCTCTTCTTTGTGTTGCTCCATGCAGAGTTGCACAGAGGGACAGGAAAATAGAAATTGAATCTGAGTAAAATATAGATTGTTGACAAAATATCATATTTCACCCTCTTCCTACCTCCCATCCCACCTCTACCCTAAGCATAGATAAAGGCAATGGAGTCCACCGATTCTGCTGGAGCCTCAGTCATCACAACCTCTGGTGCCTCTAGAGAGTAGCACCTTTGCACTAACCTCCTTCATACAGGCACTTTGCCCCTTCTTCCCTTCCCTGAAGGTGTGCCACGCCCAACAATTTTTCCAATCTGCAGAAAGACCAGAGTCAGTGAGAACTGAAGGCTTGATTGTGCATTTTTGTTGCTTTCCTGAATCACCATCCAGGTTGTCAGATTTTTCTTATTTAGCATCACTATGCCATCTAAAACGTGCACGTGCCCTAGTCTGAAATAGAGGAATGCAAGGAAAATAAAGTAGGATCGTATGAGTCCATCCAAACCGCGGCTGATGTGCAGCCCCTCCCCCATTCCAGGCAGCCCCCACGCCCACACTGACCTCCAAAGATCCTGGGAAACTTCCTCCCTCTCTCCAAGCAGGGCCACCTGCTACAGCAGACCTGCAGGATGACAGATCGAAAACATGGGGACTAAGTGCTGTTGAGAGGAGGATTATGAACAAACTATCTGATAGGCTTCCCTACTGTCATTTTCCCCTCCCCCCTCCCTCGCGCGCGCGCGCTCGCGCGTGTACACACACACAAACACACAGACACACACACACAGTGCACGCCATTTCGCCACAGTCCGATGGGGGTTAGAAACACAGACTCAGACCCGAACCTAGATTACCTTCTCTAGTTTTTTTCTCATCTCCACACACTCCTCTCCTAGGGTCCCCACATGGACTTACCTTCAAATCAACCTTCACCGATAGGGGTTAATTTCCTTCTTCTTCTCTTGCCTGGCGTTGTGCCGCAACCTACAGAAAGACTGGCCACCCGGGAGAGGCTTGGACCCCTCCAGCCACAGAGCCATGGTCGGAAAGACGGAAAACAGGCGATACGCTACAGAGTGCTTGGTGGACGGACTAGTCCCCCAGAGAACGAAACTCTTTCCTAATTCGGAGGCCTCGTTGTCAAAGGTTTCCCACCCCAGTTACTCTCTGGGGTTCTGCTGACACATCACAATGCCCCTCACCTCCCCCGCCCCCATGTCCAGCCTTTCCCCGCCAGGACTGTCCCGGTAGACTAGGGGCCAAAAGCCAGGCCACATCTCCTTTTCCAAACTGAGGGCCTTGGCTCCCAGAAGAATTTCCATCTCCTTATTTCTGGATTCCTCCCCCAAACACCCCCAGCTCACCGTTTCGCAGCACTGAAACGGGCTACGGGCGGGACAAATATCTTGGAAAGCGGGCAGAGAGTGGAAGAGTCCACAGAGGCGCTCAGGACCCGCGACGGTCTCCGCCCTACACCCTCCGCGACCCCCACTTTGTGGACTCTCCCAGGCACTGACCTGCAGGAATCCGAGAAAATTGCCTTCCCCTCCTTTTTCCCTTGGCCACAATCCCACCCGCCCTCTGGGCAATGGGAGCTGGTACTCAGATGGGAACAACGACCAGGACAAGAAGGACTTCTGCACACGTCAGCTCTTGGTCACGTGAGATCTACGTCATCCACCAACTCGGGTCCCCAATTTCCCCTCCCACTAGCAGTGCGGCAGAAGAGGGCCCGCCCCACTTCTTTCCTTTCCCCTTGCTGGGCCTTGTTACTCATTCTTCATCGCTAATCCCATCTATTGTAGTTGTGTTTCCCTTCCTCGGATTACCAGAAAGGGATAGCATCTTCCCCTGGGGCTACTGCCCTGGGCCCCTTGCACTTTTTCGAAAAATTGACTTTTCCTTTGCTAGCCTCCTGGGACAGCAGCCTCTACTTACACCTCCTCTCTTCAAGTTATTAATGTCTACCTCTGAAATCTAGTACCAGATCTGAAATGAACAAGAGGTCAGAACAGCAAACCTGATGTGAGTGTGTGGTTTTTACTTTATGATGACTTTTTTGTCATTTTTGTCCTACCCTCCACCACACCTAGCCTGCATTCTTTTCATGAGGAAAGATACTACAAAGCTATTTTCATTTCAGGAAACAAAAAAAGAGGGGAGGTGGGAGAGCATGTTGGATGATAGCTTCTAAAAGTCCCACATTTCTCACTTTATGGAGCCTTGGCTACTTCATTTAAAGCAAGCATTATATCTTTCTGGGCCTAGAACATAACAAAAGCCTGAAAGAGTTAATCAGCATGTCTGAGAATATGTAAATCTTCTGGCTAGGCCTTTCTTTTGAATAGAAGAGGGGCAAATTTTCACCTCTGTAAATTAGCAGGGAGCAAGAAATCAACCTTTGGGAGTCAGTAACAAAAGACTGAATAGAAATCACATTTGGATAGTTGATATCTATAAAGTAAAAAGGCATGCACACTGACAAAATGAGTGATATACAAAAAACATTATGAAAGACACTTGGATACAAATATGGTATCTGTAAATGAAATAGGTATTAAAGGGACGCAAAGACCAACATAAAGTTGCCTGAACTTGGGAGCTAGCAATTAGTGTGAAATCATTTCACTGATTTAATGAGCTCAATAATTCACCTGTGATTTAACTTTTTTAAAATAGGAAAAGAAACAAATCATTTTATTCCATTTATTTTATTGTATCTTATTTAAGTTAACCAGGTTTAGTTTCAGTTGTTTAAAAATCAAAGAACATTAACTAATATACAGTAAAAAAACAAATAACAAAGCACAAAAAATCCTATAGCTTTTCAGAACTTGGGATCTTTTGTTGAGTTATTTCCTAATAGTTTGGATATAGTTATCTGACTCAGCTTTGTAAATCCACAGATAATATGGAAGTAAATTCAGAGACTGGGGAGTTTGGGAAGGGGTAAACCCAGAATATTCATATGGATTTAACTTCTGGGAGGCAGTACTGGAACTTTATTGAAATTTATCAAACAGAAGCCAAATCAACTTTTGATTCTGCATTTAGAAGAGTCAGAGGAAAGTGTTGGGAGTTCTCATCCAAGCTCTGGATGAAAGTGAGATATTGGGTGAGATGAATAGAACATTTTAGCTTTTCTCAGCAGAATCGTCCCCATCTCCTGTGAGTGTTCCTCGAACTTCTGCAGCTGAACCCCACTTTTTAAGGTGAATGAGTGCCCTTGCTCTGATTGCAGGTTTACCAAGCAACTTTCTGAGGTTGTAGCATGCCAAGTAGTAGCTTGTCTATAGGATGAAAATGGGCAGTGAGAGTGTACAAAACCTCTAGCACTCCTGACAGTTATATTTCTCAGGGTAAATTATTCAGTTATCACCTCTTTTGAAACTTAATTTCTCCTGTGGTCTAACCGGGAAAGAGTACAGAGACCCATGGTTTTGAGCAGTCTGTTCTAGATTTATATGTCTCTATAATTATACCTTTTTTCTGTATGTTTTATTTTATTTTTTCCTTTAAATTTATGGGTACATTTAAAGCAAACAACACAGTTGCATTCATCATTGGAATCTTGTACCTTTACATGTTGTGTCTTGGTTCTTATTTTTTCCCCAGAACATCTGCTCTTGTTGCACAGGGAATATCAAGGCTAGAAGGGAAAAGGAAGGGGAAGGGAAGTAAAAAGAATTAAGGTGTGTTGTGTACATGTACCAAATCCCCACAATGAATGTAATCATTACGTACTACCAACATATATGAATAAACAACATTTTTAAAAATCAGGGCTAGATCATGCAACACTGAAAAAAATTCAGAACTATAGATGCAATTTTGTGATATTCTACAGGGGAAGCCAGGAGGGTTTTGATTCAAAGGACAACCTCATCTATTGCCTTTTCACGTCTTTTTCTAATGCTCAGTTAATATGGAAAATTCAACTAAGATATGCACATAAGCCCTCCGCATGTCAGCTGCAGCTGGACAAAAATGTTAATAGCCAGAACAGTTGAAGGGCTTCTAAAACTCGACAACATCTGAAATAATTTACATCTCTCTCTGGGAAAAGAAAGGAAATTCATTTCATATTTTCTACACCCTGTGCTTCTTTAGTGAAAGAGTGGACACTGCACAAAACAGACCGAAGGCCCTCTTACTAAAATATGAACCATGAGCAGAGAAATAAAAACCTGACAATCAGTAGATTTATGGCATACTGAAGAGATTCTCTCAGTTCCTCCTAGTTAGACTGCTCAAGCTGACCCTGATCTTCAGTGTTCCCTCCTGTTACCCATGTTTGGTCTTTTGCTTGCAATCTGAAAACCTCACAAAAACAACACAATACAATAAGTAATGTAACTTTTAAACTTAACAAACTTCTAAAATTTATTTCTGTCATACCTCACAATTCCATTAGTGCTACTATCCACTATTTTCAGGTACTTTGTAAGTCACAAATCACGTGTCCACAGATTGACTTAAGCCAAAAGACTTCATTTAGCAGTGGCTTCTCCGTCTTTTGCAGCCTCAGGAAGTTTTAACAGGCTTGTCTGAGGACTTATTTAAGCATTTTCCTTTTTCAGATGGTATGTCAGGTATAATGCATGTCCTTAAATACCTATTTGTTGTAAATGTATAATGCAGAGCAAAATAGTTTTTAAATACCAGCCTCCAAGTTCCTTCATAAGAATTTGGATCAAAGTGACAAAGAGGTAAAAGAAATTAAAAGGCTGTCATGGCCAACAGATTTAGGAATGTTTAGAGGAGTGGATTCAAACCAGGAGGTCTGATAGACTGGGAGAATGGTGGAACTGAATCATACACTAGATAATTACAGGATACATGAAAGGGGGGAAATATTTTACTCTGGTAAGGAGAGGCAGAAATGAAGATTTTGTCTCTGAAGCTTAGCTAAATTTTGCAAAAATTAGTCCGTATTGTAGAACTCTGTGTAGGACACCAAGGCATCTATCTTTGTTGAGCTTTACATATTCCTTACTTCTTTCTAACATATATGTTAAATACAAAATAAATCACATATAAGTACCAGATGCCAAAAACTGAATGATGAGCAGTTGAACCTAAGTGTTCTGTTAGTAAAGCATCAGAAATAAAATTCATTTGTCTAAGAAAAGTAAATAAATTGTCATGAAAAGAAAAGTAAAAGGGGATAATGGAAAAAACAAATGAGGTAGAGATTTAGAGAGATGAAGTATATTAGTGCATGAGTTTGGACTAGAAAAGTTTGGGAAAGGCAGAAAGTTAGGACACATTCTTCATTTCTAATACTTGGCAGGAAAATAGAAGGGCTACCTGGCTCCCCTCCAGAAAGGGCCTCCTCCACAGGGGCCCCTGGCAGAGAGCACCTCCAGCCTGCCTAGGTGTCATATTTCAACATTCTAAGAAAGAGGCTGCCTGAACAGTCTATATTTAGAGTATGACTCCCAGCCAGCACAAGTAGGTGTTTGGGGGCTAACCTCTGCATATTTAACCCTGAGTTTGGGGATTAATTATCCTGAGGGACTTGTGTGGGTGGTTCAGTCAAGTTGTAAGGGAAACTGAGAGTGAAAGTCTTCTTTCTCCTGGTGATCACTTGACATCCTGTACCTTGTCCTCCCACTTGTGAGGGAAAAAAGATAAGGACGTGCGAAGGTGTAGCAGCAACAGACAGTCATCCACAGACCCTCACTGCCATTGACACTGGAGAATATGAACTTTGGACATTGCTATGCTAACAGATAACACAGGAATGGCAGATATTGGAAAGATCTTACCAGTGCCATGATGAATGAAAAATTCCCTCTATTAACAGGAAATTCTGTATGTTCTGGATAGTTTACAGATTGCATCCGGAAACTTGAGAATAGATTTTTTTTCTAGGTACCAGGAATCGAACTCTGGACCTCACACTTGCAAGGCAGGCACTGTGCCTCTGAGCTAATCCCTGTCCAGGCCAGAGAATAGATTTTTATATGAAGACTTCAAATGAAAGGCAGACTAATATGAGAATTTAGTAATTTGTAAAGATCACCTGAAGTTATGAGATTCATCTGAAGACAGAGTCTACAAGAAGTCCTTCCTTTGAAGCTAGAATAAAAGCCATCCAGCAGCCTTCTTTAAAATCTCAGTTGTATAACAGTTAATACTATGAGTTCGGCCAGAAAGATGAAAGAGATGGTAGTATTTTTATTCATCTAAAATGGTCAAAATTAGAACACTGACCTTCTCATGCAGATTCATTTGTCCATTAATTTACAAATCATATTGCAAACATACTAGTTTTGTTTGTAAAGATATGTTTTAAACTTTAATATGATCTTTTAGAGCTGCTAATATGAAAAAAATATTTTCAAAGTGGCCCAAATTAACTTTGCCAATCCTGTTAGTTGGAAAATCTTGCTCATGGTACATTTTAAAAATAAGACTGACATTTATTTTCTCCAGGTGGAAATCGTTTTATTATATTTTATGATTGCAAAATACTGTGTGTAAATTGAGTCATTAAAAAAGCTGGAATGAAACAAAACCTACATGAGGCAAAAATCTTAGTAAAAATCTACCTGGGCTTCCTCTTCTGCTCCCTCCAAATTTGGTGCCTAGACTGAAAATTAAAAGTGGCTAGAAATTAAGGAAGAAGATTCAGAAGTTTCAAAGCCAAGGAAAGGATAACACAGTTCTCCAAGAAGTGTAAGTGCAGAGTAGACCCACAAAAATATGCCAGACTCTCCTGTAATTAGAGAAAGTCAAATTCAACACCAGAGAGATATGGTCACTTCTGGTTTCTGGTGTTCTTACAGAGGAACAGACAGACAGGGGGCAGTGAAAGTGGGGGGAGGTAGAGGGCAGGCTGGCGCCTGCCGCACTGCTTGTGGGAGTGGAAACTGGGGGCCAGAGCTTACCGGTGACGTGGATGTCACATGATCAGGAGCCTCCTAGAGTAGAAGTCACGCTAGTCTCCTCTGTCTGGGTACCAGCCCCCTGTTACTCTGCAGGCATGTGAAGGAAGAAGAAAACTAGCTCGGACGCACAGGTCGGTGCAAGGGTAGGCGCTGCTTTGAAAGAAGTGAGGGTGGGAGAGGGCCAAGAGTCTAAGTTCATGCAGATTGGGGCTGTATTCTTTTCTCCTCCACTTTTTAAATACCGTCCCCCACCCCCACTCCATTCCTTCAGTTTACTGGAAAGGAGTGACAGGCTTCTGGTGGGGGTGAGGAAACTGAATGGCGGCTACAGAGAATCCAGGAAAGAAAGGTTCCACAATCCAGGCACCTTGTCCTGGGTGCTGGTCAGTCCACCAAGCACTCCTTCCCCTCTGTCTCCTGTCTGTTGCAGATCTGTAGATCGCGGCACAGATCTCGGCGAGAGAAGGATCAAACTGCTTTGATTGGAACCGTGGAGGGACATGTGAAGGTGGGATTAGCCCGGAACCGTAGGCAGGGGTGGCAAAGAGGAGAGCTGGGATCTCTGCGGGACAAGTCCAAGTCGCCCTCTCCAGCCCCATTCTTATTCCACACCCCCTCCCAGTTCAGTGCAGGGGAAGGGGTGTGGCTGCCTTTGCTGGGAAAATGGCGGACGAAGGGGATAGGGGAAGCCCTGGTGAGAAAAGTACAGAGGGTGTGAGAAATACTTTAAACCCAAAGGCCTAAAATTCAGAAAAGCGGATTTGGGAAGCTTTGTGATCAGTGAGGACCCATCCCACTGCACTTTCAGTTCTCCATTGCCACCAGCCTCCCTTTCTATTTGTTCTTCTGCCAGACTGTCCATCTATCAATGTAGAAGGAACAGTGACATCAGAAACAACAGAAGAAGAAGAAGAAATTCACCTGACTTTGGTAAAGGTTCTTTGGAGAAACTTTATGCGACTTTTGGAGGGTAGAGATATATGCAGGGAAGGAAAAAAATCTACTTGGGGGTTAAATCTCTGACCATCATATAGAGCACAGCCCTATCTCTTGCCCTTCTCTGAGGGTCCTGAAAGAGAAATGATAGATCCCCAGGGTAGATAGGGGAGAGAGAAAACAACAAGAAAATAGTTGCCTAATAATACAGATTTTTCAACAAAATTCAAACTTCAATCTGTCTGGTAAGGCAGAAGACCTTGGCATAATCCAAATTTCCTAATACTTTTTCTCACCCACAGATTCACTACAAGGACTGCAGACATCTAGGAAAGCCAAAAGATTGCTATCCTGCATCATTCATCCTGGCACTAAGAGACCTCTTTAATCAGGTGGAAAAAGGCACACTCCCATCGTGCCCCAAGACTGCAAAGATTTAAGCATGGGCCGGGCCCGGGAAATGGGTTGGATGGCAGCAGGACTAATGATTGGGGCTGGTGCCTGCTACTGTGTTTACAAACTGACCTTAGGAAAGGATGACAGTGACAAGTCTGAGGAGGAGGAGGAGGAAGAATGGGGGGATGACCAAGACCTGGATGATGAGGAGTCAGAAATTTGGTTAGATTTCACAACTATGGCACGACCATGGAACGAGGATGAGGATTGGACACAACCTGGGGCCCCGGGTGGCAATGAAGACAGGCGATCAGGGGGAGGAAAGGCTAACAGAGCACACCCAACAAAACAGCGGCCATTTCCATACGAACATAAAAATACATGGAGTGCTCAAAGCTTTAAAAATAGCGCTAGTGTGCTTAAGCTCTCCAAGTGTCCTCCCACCCAGGGAAAACCAATGTTTGCTGAGCCCAAGGAAGCCGTTTTTTCACTTAGCCACGATGTCAATAGACATTTAGTCAACTCATCAGTCACTGGAGACGCAATCCCAGCTCCCCACCCCACGGTCAATGAGAAGGCTTTGTGTGCCCCAGATAACGTGAATGGCAGCATTGAAAATCAGGGCCAGATTGAGATGTACGCCAATGAGGTGTGTCGGGAAACTGTGTCACATTGCTGCAACTCATTTCTGCAGCAGGCTGGATTAAATTTGTTAATAAGCATGACAGCGATTAATAGCATGCTTGCCAAATCCTTTTCAGACCTGATGTTTCCTTTGCTATCCGAGGGAAGTGGATGTGCTGCTAAGGTTCAGGTTTTGGAACTGCTGATGGTTTTGTCTGAAAAGCCAGTCTTGGCGGGGGAGTTGCTGGGTGCCCAGATGCTGTCCCCCTTCGTGATAAACAAGTGGAAATAGAGAGATTCTCCTGGAAACGCTCGCCCCTTAAGTGGCCATGTGGAGCACAGTGGGACCGAATCTTCCCCAACCCCGGTTTGGTTTGCAGATGTCAAAGAATCCGCACTGGGTGCCACTGAAGATTCGGCCTTGGCCAGTCATCAGTCGCTGGGTGAAAGTTCCAGTCGCTAACTCCAGGACCACACTCTCATTGGCCAGGCAGGGGCCCCCACAGAGCTCTGGGTAACTAATTGGTTTTGCAGTCTGCAGGCAAAGTGCACTGTAAATTGCTCCCTTGCAGCCTTCCTCGGGCTGTAAGGGGATCTGTAGCCTGCCAGCTGTGGCTAAGGGGCATCAAATTACAGCATCACAGTGCTACTGTTGCCTCTGGTGGTCTCCCTGTCTAAGCAGGACCACTTCCCAGAGACCAGATCCATGCGGGAAGCTTGTGCTGAAAATGCATCTGCCGCTGTTTAGATTGAGGTATTTTTTTCCTTTGCTCTTCTTCTAACACCAGCTGATGGATGGCAAATGAATCTGTTCATCCAAAAAGTGCACTCCCCTTCTATCCGTACTACCGACTGAACCTCCCCCCACAAAGCCTACATCTGTGTGTATCGTCAATAAACTTGTGTGCTCTGGTCGGCAAAACGAAGACACGGTCCTTCTCGTTGACTTTGCAGTGGTCTGCACAAAGGGAAAGACAAAAAGTGTGCACAATAAACGCCAGCTGACTGGGGCGTCTGCTCCCTGGCAGATGGACGCTCGGTGATCGCAGGAGGCAGGGGCAGAAAGGGGCTTCAGTGTTCAGAATAAACCTCAAGAGAGGGGGCAGGGGTGACAGCCCGGGGGGCGGGGCCTGGGTTTGGCAGAATTAAGTGGGCATGTTGAGAGAACCGCAGGAGCCTATACCCTTGAAGCCTTGAAGCAGGCAGCCCCTGATAAAGGTATCTCCTTGACTGCCGGCCGGGGGAGGAAGGACAATGTCCTTGAGGTTTTGTCTAGAAAGGCCTTAGTTGCTGGGCTGGGGGCAGCCGGGGAGTGTGTGTGTGTGTGTGTGTGTGTGTGTCTGTCACGCATCCCTGCACATCTGCTGCATAATTATCACAATAACGATTGCCTCTTGCCCAGCCTACCTGATGGAGGTCTACCTACCTATCCTGAGAAGCTGCTGTTAAGCCGGCTTCTAGCCCTCCTGCCTTCCATGGGATACCAAGCTCTGCTTCCTGGCAGAATGAGAGTGTTGGCAGCTGCTTCCTGTGGCAGAATTTCCTTTCCTTGCTAACTTCCCCTGTACGTTGATTGGGTGGGACTCTGGAAGGGGATGGTAGAGTCCTGCACGTACTCGCTGGGGGGTAGTAGGGCAGATGCGGAGGGTGCTTAGCACCACCAACCAACAGGCCTCGCCCACCTGTCCATCCATCCAGAGACATCTCTGCACCCTCCCTCCGAGGCCCTGGCACCCCCCCAGAGGGGAAAGGAAGCACCCTTGGGTGCCAAACCATGGATCGGGTTCACGGCCGGTCTGGCCAACTCATTCTTTCCCTGACTTCCGGAATATTTCCAGACCTCTCCCAGAGAGTCCTAGCTTCTGCCTCACCAAAGCCAGGTTCCTTATGTGTTTGCGGTGTCTCAGACAGTGGTCCCCTGTCTCAAAGCGAGGACACAGTCACCAATCACATCTGCTCTCCTTGTGTGGTGCTGCTTCTGGGAAAGGTGCCCTCTCCTGGGCAGCCTCCCTGGGATGCTGGGGTGGGTGACCGTGCCCTGGGCAGCAGTGGTCTGTCTGCACAATGCCCTGCCTTTGGCCTCTGCTCGTCCACACGGAACACGGTTTTCTTCCCATTTCCTCTTCTCCCTTCTGCCCAAAAGGTTTGGTTTCGGGTAAGTTCAGGGCTTTCTCTCTTGTACTGTGCAGCTCGCACTGCATGCTGACAGCAGGCCTGGGGCACTGCCAGGTCCCCCAAACAACGCCGGGAAGTGCTCTGACCAAGAACGGGGACACTGCATTTTCCCAGGCCCGGGAGGCTTGGGTGGCCACCAAATGACTGGTGTGGTCACTGCCGCTCCACACCCCCATCGAGGCTCACCCTGCTAGGGCATCCTTGGCTGGCTCTCGGGCCCTGTCTTGCTTCCCAGCAGCTGCCAGTGGGACTGCCCTTTTCTCCCAGGGGAACCGCAGCCCGGCCGGACAATCTGCTTTTCAAGGATTTCTCTGCAGACGGCTCCTGCGTCCTCCTTTTCAAGTCCAGCCTGCCTTGCTGGACTGCCTTGCTGCCTTGCCTTCAGGGACCCCTCATTGCTCAGCCTCTTTTAATCTTACCACGGTGGCAGAAGCTGCTCTCCTTCCTCCTAGCTTGTGGCCCAAACTAGCATGCACCTCCATACTCCCCTGCACGCCACTGAATTCCAATTTCCTGTCTGTGTATAGCTGTCCGGCATCTTTTGGGCACTTGACATTTTAAGGCCAGTCACAGCTGACTCCAAATTCAGGGAAGGCCTTGGAGGCTTCCTGCCCATCTCCTGAGCGGCTCTGTCACAGGGAAGCCTGCCAGCATCAAGGTGCCTCCACTGTGTGGTCTTGACCCAAATCGAAACCCTCCTGTCCATTTCTTTGCACTGCCCTCCCCAAAACACTGCCCCTTGTCCCTTGAACGGTTGCGGTGGTGCCAGGTAGGAGCCCAGCTCCCCGTGCGTTCTGCCTCTGAGGGAGGCATATGGAGCAGGGTGGGAAGTATTCCTGCCGCCCAGGGCCTGCTCCAGACACCAAGAGGCCCTGAGCACTGGCGAGGGCTCCTGTTGCATACCTCCTACAGGCCATGCAACGTAAACTAAGAACAGCCGTGAACTACCAATCGCCAGACTCACCTGTCTTCTGCGTCTGTCAGACAGCCTTTTCTGAGTTTCCCCCGGAGAACACCGAACAAGATCATCCACACTGGGCTTGTTACATTCGGTGGGGAGGTGTCCTGCCTTGAAGATGCTGCCCCAGCCTGCGCCATCTCTTCTACCAGTCCGCAACTGATGCCACAGACTGCTTTCCAGCTCGCTCCACAGAGGGCCTTGGCTTTGCCTCTTATTTATCTCATCAGCACCTTTCCATTTGGTGCCTGAAAGTACTAGCTTCTACACTCATTCCTGCACCCGACCCCAGCCTGCCTCCTCCCCTGGGGATCCCGTCCTTGGAAAAAGCCCTCCAGCCCTCTCTCTGAAAGTGTACGCAAGGCTGCAGCCATCCACCTTCCCGTGGGCTCATGCAGTGTCAAACCCTGCGTCCTCGCCGGAGCCCTATATGTCACTCTCGAAGCAGCCTCCACCCCAACCCATTCCCTTTTCAGGGCTGCCCATGAGCCAGCATAGCCCTCACCAAGTCAGTCTCTGTGCCTTGGCACCGTTCGGCTATGAGGTGAGTACGGTGGGCAGGATGTGCTCCTACCTCCCTTCTAGAGGATACACACAGTTCCAAAATGCAGAAGGGCGCTGCACCAGAGCCCAGCAGAGGTCTGCAGTGGGTGCCTCGCCCGCTCCCTGTTACAGTTGCTGCAGGTGTCTGCTTACAGTCTGTTACATTCTTCCTTACTTTGCTCGTGGCCTCCTTTGCACCTGGAAGGTTAATTTTCCCTGACCGTGTGTCTCAGTGTTTGGTGGGTGGCTGAGGATGGCCTTGCCCGTGCTCTGATCACTAAAAGAGCCCCCTTTTCGGTTTCCCAATTCTTTCATCCCTTCCCATGTCAAGTTTTGTCTCAGAGATGTGCTGGGAATTACTCTTGAGCAAGATGGACAATAGTGGCCTAATTTGCTCTCTTTGTCCAGATGGGTAACCAGTGAGCCCGGCACCACTAGTTGAGTACCCCATTCTTGTGCTCGTGTGGGACACAGTGTGGCATCCTCATGCACCCGGGCCCAGTGTCCCTCTGTGACTTCGTGGCCTTGATGTCCCTCTGAGGCACACTCCTCCCTCCCAGGAAACTCTAGATGACTTGGGGAACCTCAGCTCACTGGGTAGCAGAAGGCAGGTGGTGTGTGTGTGTTGGTGGGCAGGGTTCCACTGGTGCATGTGAGCGGGTCCCTGCCCCAGGTACCTTCCCAGGACATCATCTGACCCACAGGAAGCTTAGATGCCTTCACCCTGAAAACTTGAGCGCCATGGGAAATGGCACTGCTCTCTTTTCTCTCCCAAATTAATATGTATGTGCAGGTAGAACCATGTCTATTTTCTATGTTTAATCTTTTTTTTACTGTTTTCTACGATAGCTATTGGCACACCTGACACATGGCCATTAATCACTTTTGAATTATCTTATTTTTAAGCGTTTTTCCTCACTATTTTCATTTGTGTGTGTGCTACATTCAATTACTTATGAAATTTGCACTTTGTGTTTTTGTGATATTTTCCTTAAAGATATATACATAAATATAAAAACACTTTTGGTATATTCTTTCTTTGTTTATTATTGTCTTTGTCATCCCCATGGTACAGGAAAAAATTTGCTTATTTTGTATAAATACATTATTCTCTTTAGAATTAGTCTGTCTTTTAGCTTACAATGTATATGTTTGTGCGCCTGACTTTTTGTATGTATATCTTGAAATAAATATTGTACCTTTATTTTTCTAAATGTATAGTTATTTATCCTAATGTTATTTGTTGCCAATACACCTTTTGTGTTTTTATTAAAATTCCATTAAGTTGATAGATTAAATTGACTAGACTGGGCATCTTGAGAATCTTCCCATAGTGAGCTGGGTATTGTGATGCATGCCTATAATTCCAGCACTCAGCATATTGAGGAAGGAGAATCACTGTGAGTCTTGGACATCCTGGGTTCAAGTGAGCGTAAGGCCAGCCTGAACTACAAATTGAGACCCTTCCTTAAAAAAAAAAATTCCCATTGCTACACTTAATCATACCTTTTTTTGGTCATTTGTGACATTTTATTTTATAAAGACTTTTCACCTTTCTTTTGTTGCCTTTTTTTTGTACCAGGGTTCGAACTTACTCATGACCTTGCACTTGCGAGAAAGGTGGTAGCACCACTAAGCTAAATCCATGGCCCTTCAACTTTCTTTTAAAGTTCACTAACCATAATCCTGTTTTCTCTATCTTAAATTCTGTCCTCACATTTATGTATTCTGCTGTGGAAACTTTCAATGGTATTTTAATCCCTTGGATATCTGCTTGGATGTTTTTCATGTTTTCTGTTTCTTTACTATGCTGGGCATTCATGGTTTCCATCATTTCCCTCAGCCTCTCTGTTTTTGGTTTTATCTGTATCTGCTCTGGAGTTACTAATTCTGTCTTTTATTACGGTCAGCATCTCTACTGTCATCTGAAAAATTATTTCTGATTTAATTTTTTCCAGAGCCTCTTTCATCTGTTTTGTTGTTTCCCTTGTTACCAGTTCAGAGAGTCCAGATGGTTGTCTTGGATTTTTCTATCTCATTGCTCCCTGGATTTGCCTTTGGTGAGCTGGAAGTCTGGGTTTGCATCTTGTTTAGATGTCTTTTAATTTTAATTTGTTGTTGTTGATGTTTTTGGTTTAATTCCTGGGTTAATGCTTGTATATTGCTTACTGAGAGTATCTTTATTGCTAGTATTTAGAACCCTTAGGGAATGGCTGCTTCTCACATTGTCTTCCAGGTATAGATAGCGTT